TATCTTATTAACGTATATATTCTTTATTAATTACTTAAGAATAAAAATAATATTTTATTATTAACGCTTAATATAATTAAAATTATTATACGTTTTAAGAGTAAATTAAATTATAATTATAAGAATAAATTAAAAACTCTTATACTTTCTTCTTATTAACCTTTAAAGTAAAGTAATTAAATATTTAAGAGATAATCTTATAACTTTACCTTTACTCGCTTTATTTTATAATATAATAGTAACTTAGTCTTATATTATATACCTTTTAGGGATTACTTATATTACTTATCTTCTTATTAAGATACCTACTTAAATAAATAATTTACACGTACCTTTAAGGTAAATTTTCTCTCTTATAACTTTAAAGTAACCTTTATCTTAGCTTATATTAATTAGCTAAATTAATTAGTAAGTAATTATAGCACTTAAGTTATCTTAAATAATATTATATTAGAATTACTCTTTACTCTTACCTTTAATAGTTACTAATAGTTTAATTCCCTTAACCTTAAGTTAAAGGCGCGTTTAATATATAACCTTAATCTATGAAAATAGGAATTATCTTAGCGTTTTTATTTTAAAAAGAGATTATCTTAAAGCTTATTTATTTTATTCTATTAAGATTTAAGCTGCTATTTTAATAATTATACTAGGAGATTATAGCGCTAATATTAAGGTGAAAATAAAGAAAGCCGTGCTTATTTACTTTAATAGCTATATTATAACTCTCTTAGTTTTTAGTAATTATACTAGTTTTAATTACGCTAGTTTATCTCACGCTATTATTATTAAATAAGAATACTACTTATAAATCTTTAACTTAAGTAAGGCTTTAATTAAGATTAAAAAAGGCTAAGTTATTAGTTTAATTACTTTAGCTTATATTACTAATAATTAATAGACAACTTAATAATAGGCGGCCTTATAAAATTAGAATAACACTTAAAAGAAAGTGTAAAACTTATAAAAGTCTTTCTAGAATTTAAAGAATATATAATTACGTGTAAACTTTAAACGCTAGAATAATAAGCGTTAAAGCTTTTATTATAATTATAACTTATATAATAGATAAGATAGGCCTATCGTAAATTAAGATTAATCTTTTAATTAAAGGGATTATACCTTTCTATTAAGAAACCCTTATATTAACATTAATTATCGTGGTAATAATTCTAATTATTCTAGAGTAATATAATACTCTTCGCGTTAGAATTAAAATAAAGTTACGAAAGGTAAACGTAACGTTTATTAACGTGAATCTTCACGCTTTAATAAATATAATAACTATTATAATACTTATTAAAAATAAAATAATAATTAACGCTAGCCTATTATTATTCCGCTAGATTAGTATAAGAAATATTTAATTAATTAAAAGAGAGTTATTATAATAAAGAGAAATATAATAAAATAATTATTATAATTAATTATTATATAACTTAATAAATATACTCTTAAAGTAATTATATTTACCTTAAAGGTAATAAATAATTTAAGTATTAGAATTCTATTTAAGTACCTAAAAACACTTAATATTTTTAATAAATAATTATAGGTACTTTATTTTCCTTTATAAATTTATTTAAGTCTTTTTTTCCTACCTATACCTACCTAAAGCCCACGGGTAAGCAACCCACACGGGTACCCGTGGACCTTTTACACTCTAGTTCTAAGGCAAGTTTACAATGGGGTCAAAACCGGCAAATCCTGGCAGCAGCGAATCTTTTCGTGGTTGCGTGGGAAAATCGCCATTTATAAGGTGCTAGGCTTTGGTATTCCCGGTGATGCCACTATAGACAAGAAGTCAAGTACCATAACGCCAGAAACCTGTTCGCGCTTGTCGCTGGCCTGTGATCTGTAATTTCAATCCTCAGGCTTCAACTACAACTTGCCTTACATGGTCTTGATCCCCTGCTAGTACGGGAGGGAACGGGAACACTTGGCCTAGTACGGCAGTAGACCCAGTTTGGCTCCACCAAAGCTGCCACACCCCACCCTGGTGCCTGGCTAAGCAGGGGTTTGCCGGTAGCCGCCCGACACCCCTGCGGTTCATTGCAAAAGCCGCCACGCAATAACAGAGGAGACTTACGACACGCGCCCAGCTGCGGTTTGGAAGACGCAATAAATCACACACAAACTCCAACACCAGGTAGATAAGTTGCAGAGCAAGCAGCAGATTTCAGTGTCGCCGGAAACTGATGGGATTATCCAGCTTCCACCACGGCCGCGGAATAGATTCAAGAGCGACCATGCAGGTGTATGTCAATATGTGGCCGACTAGCCTTGACACAAACACGGACTGGTGCTGCATAAAGAGGGATTTTCATCCCGGGAAGGACGCATCACTTGTGCACTTGGCCAGGCACTCGCGGGTGCGACGGCGTACAACTGCAGGCCTCGATGAAGCAACTATAGAAAGAATTGAATGTGTAACAGTCTCGTCTAAAGTATCATCCATGGCTGTCTGGAACGGGACCCTGATGATTTCAAAGACTAGGCAAAACCTACCCCGCTGGGCAGTGCTAGTGTTGGGCTACAATTCCTGATGCATGTTATCCATGGCTTTTGAGCTGGGCCGCCGAATTCTGGTCGAGGTTCGCCTTGGCGACTCTGCAGGTTCAGACGGTGCCCGTGGCCGGCTCTGTGATGATCTGTTCCGCTGGTAACCCGACCGACTTTGCTCTGTGAACCCCCCACGGCTGGCTCCTGGCTGCGCTCGTCGACTGCGAAGCAGGCTTGGCGACAGCGTTGCGAATGGGCTTGGCTGCCGCGTGCTCTCATTGGGTTGCGTGGGTAGGGAACTTACTTGCAAGGGCTCTGGTGGCGTTGGTATCCAATCCATGGGAGTGAGAATTGTGCTGGCAACCGATGACGGTGCGTCCGAGTTGGATAAGTTGACACCAGGTAATGGGGTTTGCACTGAGGTGTTTATGATGAACCGCTCGACAGCTCCGAGTAGCTCGCGAGCCGTCGGACGTTCATTGGCGTCGACATTGAGGGCGGATTGAAGGTGAGGTGCGTGCCGTTCTAGGCGTAGCTGGAATGGCAACCACCGCTGCCCCGACCTGGCTGCTACTTGCTCTTCCCCATTCGACGGGAGTCCAGCCAAACACTCAGTGACAGTCACACCGAGCCCCCATATGTCGACTTTGGTCGTCTGCCCGCCGCCCGACCCAACCTCCGGGGCCATGTACCGCTCTGTTCCAACCAAAGTGTCTGATGTATCGACGGTTTTGGCGATGCCAAAGTCTGTCAGAAGAAACCTGTCACCTTGGTAGAGGATGTTCGGGGGCTTCACGTCTCGATGGATGACTGGCGGATTGCGACTGTGAACGAAATCCAGTGCGTTTAAGACCTGGAGTAGCATCCTGTGGATCTGGACTTGCAATGTGTGTGGCGCTTCGCCCTTTACCAGGTTCACAAAGTCGTTGAGATTACCTTCATAAATAGGCATGAAGATTTCGATGTTCCGCTCCGTCATGAATCCCTGGGCATGCTTATACGGCACGATATGCCGCTGAGAAATGGTGAGCGTGGGACGAGCAGATGTAGAATCGGGAGCTTACGTGTTGCAGCGCCTGAACCATCTTCACTTCCATTTCTATCTTCTTCCTGAAATCTTTCTCAGAGTAGATTTTCGATTCAGGCATGTGGGCCTTTACCGCGACGATTTTGCAAGCATGGTGCGCGCCGGTATACATGTCGACGACCTTGTGGACTTCCCCTTGCCCCCCTTTTCCAAGAATCGGATCCTATCGAGGTCGGCAGGCTCAAGTGGGGTTCTAAATCGAGTATTGTGGGTATTAAGGTTCTGGATGGTTGATTCGGACTTGTACGTAGTTGCCAGTCCTTGAGCGTTTAGAGCCTGCAAGCCCGCAGCGAAGATGCGTTGCAAAGTTGACTCCAACGTTTGGTTAGGGTCGACCTGGCCAGCGAATGCAAGCTTCTTTTGGGTAATAACGGCTTCTTCGTGGTCTTGCCATGCTGGTGTTCTGATCAAAAAGCGGGCGGAACTCATGATGAAAAACCATTGGCGTTGGACAGCACCAGTGTTGGGGTTGCCATACAAGTCGGGGCTGAGTACCACGACGCACTTCCGAGGGCTCTTCCATATTTGGGAACGGCCTACATGCTTCTCTACTTTGTCGCCTGAGCCGCCGACAGTGATAACATCACAGAGGTGTGTGTCATGCTTCCTGGATATATCGTGTAGGAGCAACTCTCCGGTGTCCCTGTTGAAGTCAAAGTAACACTGGTCGTTTCTCGAGAAGCGCTGGTTGAGGACCACATCGTTGTCCTCGCGCCGGCCAAACGTTACCAGATACGGCGGGTTCTTGGGCTGCTGGTCCAGCCCAATTCTCAAGACTGGCTTGTCAGGGTCGATGTGGGGTGCGTAGCATCGGCGGGCTTCGTTAGCGGGATCCTCAATGACGGCCGCAGCATGCTCGTTTGCAGACTCGAGGTAGAAGACGGTACCAGAAGGGTCGGGAGGGTCCATTTCAGCGAAGCATGTTTGATGGTGGAAGAAGTTGGAGCGAGGTCACCATCGGGGCTTGCGCGATTCACCAGACTCATTTTGTGCTCCTTGTTGCTTTGTGCATCCTTTGACATGATTGGCCGGGACGCGGCGCGGGGAACATTGCATCAGGCAAACAGACTGGACAGGCAGCTGCGAACGCATTTCTTCTTCAGCCTCAGCTTCGCCCTGCCCTCGCCCTCGCCCTCGTCCCCTTTTTCAGCATCGCCAATCTCGCCGGCAATAGGCCTTCCAGCAACTTCCCCGTCATTCGCGTCTCCATGGTTCCGCAAACACGTGCAAGCCGCAGGCGCACCAATGCATCCACGCTTCATCCATCTGTTGAGGCCGCCTACAATCATGTGAGTACTGCATCTAGCGGCGACAACCTCAACGGAAACCCCGAGCCCAAGAGTACCAGCCATGAGGCCGATCGCCACCCAAAAGCGGAAACGGAAACCGAAGCGCCTCAGGTGCTCGTATACGTGAGGGGCGTGGAGATGAACGTACCGCAAACCTACGATCCCGACACGTACTATCCCGATAGGCGAATGCCATGGACGCCCGAACCAGAACCATATAGTCCCGAAACCTATACGGCCTGGGGTCGGAAACATTTTGGTGAAGAGTGGTATAAACTGCGGCAGACCATGATCGAGGAAAGGAACATTTTCCTTGAGTACGATCCGGTCTATCATGAACGCCAAAGAACCCTTAGGATAATAGCGCATAAGATCGAACGCCGGCCGTTTGAACCTCGCAGTCGTATATTTGGTGCGGACTGGAAACGACTCTGGGCTCGGCTTTCAAAGGAATGGGGCATTGAAATTGTTCGTTCCCCAACACCTCAGAAAAACAGCGATGATAGCGATACCGACCTTAGCGGGTACAGCACCTATGATCCTACCCCTGAATATCGTACACCCAGTCCCTTTCCCGAAGATCCGTGGGAAAGGTTAGAGTATGATCGGAAACGTTTCTCTTGGAACGAGGAGGAGTATGAATTTGAAAAGATCTTTCTCAAGGAGAACCTTATAGATATGACTAGGTGCCGACATGAAAACGAGCCAGGTGACAAGCCAGCCCGTGAGAAGCGGCAACTAATGGAAAGCTTTCGCAACAAGGACCCTCTTCGATTCCGCATTGAACAGGACCGCTTTCAGGCTCATATTGATCTCCGAAAGAAGGGATGGACAACGGAGCAGATCGAAGCTTTATATAATGCTACAGTTTCAATGCATGAATGGATCAAGAGGAACTCTGCACGAAGTAAAATGCGTTTATACCTTGCCGAAAATCTTGGAAAACCCACTCCTGAACAACAAGCTGCAAGAAGTAGCTGGTGGGATAAGATTCGAGATGCAACTATTGAGTACTACGGCGCGTGTCCACGCAAAGGGTGGGATTCTTTTGGCTTCTCAATATATGACTTCTTAGTCGGCGTCACAACAACACTGAGCTACGAGGAGAAGGAGGAAGAGGAAATCTGGCGCCAGAACACCCATGCTCGCTTGTGTAGCCGACGACAACAAGAGGCCCTGGCAAGCACCAAAGGCGATGCTCAAGCTACAGAAAAGGCGCCGAACCCATCCCCTCGACAGACGGCAAAAGCTCTACATGGGACGCGCAGCGGCCGAATTACCAAGGAGGCACCGACACACGCAAAGGCCTCGCCATCAGACCCAAGGCGTCGTCGTCCTAATCCTGAAGCGGTAGGTGAGCTCGGAAATAGCACGAGGACGGCATCCCAGATCCACAAGAGGCAGCCTAAGACCTATAAGAAGGAGCGCTCAAGCCGAAGGCAGGCAGGTAAGGCACCTGAATACGGCATGCTAGACGAAGGTGAAATACCATATTCTTTGCGAAAGCCCTCCAACACACGTCCAACAAGCCGCTCAAGTCTCCGTGGTGGCAAAAAGTCGAAAGGGGAAAGGGAGGCTAGGAGCGTGAAATCCCGAGAGACTTTGAAGTCTCGTAAATCAAGGAGAGCCGGTTGAGTTCCTCGCCAGAGGATCGAAGTGCTAAGAATAATCACCAACATGGCGGCAGGGCCGTAATGGTGAGGATAGCAATTTGCGTTGCGTGGATTGGGGTGCTGACTGCTAGCAAGTCAACCAACTATAGCGGCAGAATCTGGACATTTAATTATTTGTTTCTTGGTGTAACATTAGGACAATCTGGAAAATCTATCACGGTGTATTGCTGCCATTACTGCTGAGACCGCTCCTGGAGATGTTCACCCGACATCTATCACGACCTAATTTGATGAAGATAAATGTACTTATCTTTTACTCGCATACAGACTTTGTGTTTATGCCATGCTCCTAGAATTCGGTTTTCGGCAATTCGTGTCATGGTACTGCAAACGTGGATTTGGGTGATTGCTCCGGTTTGACGATTCGGCGCGACACCTCCCCGAGGTACGTATTGAATACCGTGTTGCCAAGTCACTTTGCTCTTGGATGTAGGCTCAGACCAACAGCAAAGCAGCGTGATGAAGGCATCTTGCCTCGCAGCCAATTTGGTCGCCACAGAAACCTCCCCCCCAACAGCATCCTTCTCCGACTGTGGCCTTCAGCGACGTTGACATATGTGTCTCGCTATGACTTGCACTTGTGTCATAACCACACCATCTGCTAGCTAAGCACCGAAAAGAGCGTTGGGAGTCGTAGTATCGGATAACAGTATCTGATATCTTCCGTCGTTTTCTCAACAAGACATCATCGACCACACACCTCAGCCTACCGCTTCCGACTCCCCGCGGAGACGCAGCACTAGTCTCCATTACCTGCGGTTAATTTATACCATTCGACGTGATTAGAAAGCTTCTCTTATTCATAATTTTAAGAATTAACTTACAAAGGGAAAAAAAGATCCTATGAAGTGTTAGCGAAGGCTATAAGCTATTGTCTTGAGGTGGATTTTCCGACTGTCCCTTGGTAGCGATGATAAATTCAGGCATAGTAGTGGCTTTACCAAAGATGAAATATTGAGATTAAGGCTTACACCCCCGGTTTCTACTCTCCCTGTCAATGTTTTTTTGACGTTTTTATGACAATGACCTCGGGTTAAAAAACGACTAGATGAGGAAATATTACTTATTCACGTCAACAAACGCAATCCCACCTCATTTCCGAGGCATTTGTGTTGTTTATATTGCCTGACAACTGAAACTTTACACTCTAGTTGCTTCATTATTATCCAAGTCAAATGATCAACGGCGAAGACTACCGTAGCCGCCATGATGGGTAAGCCAATATATCCAATCTTTGGAATCAAGAGGCAACTCCCACCAGTGGACTCGGGTAGTATTGTGGTTTTAGTAGGTTGAGTGGTCGTGTCAGCGGTGGAGGCGGGAGCTGTATTGTTTGGCTCTTTGGAATCTCATTCGGCGTACCATTTAGCCCACGCAAGGGTATTGTTTAAGCCCAGTTCACCAGCGAGAACCCTCGTCTTTACAATGTTCCAGGTCTTGGGACAATCCGTGGGGAGTGTAGCCAGTCCAGAGCTATGTGCCCTCGACCATGAAGATGCCTCACTCTGCTGGATTTGTAGGAAGGGGAATCTTCTATTGTCGAGCAGCCCAACAGAGGAAGTTGATATGGCGACGAATTCCTTGAAAAATCAAGAGCCGGAAGCAGACAGCAGCTCAAATTTTAAAAGGAGCAAAGGGAAAGGTTCCACGTCAATACTTGTTCGTGCTCAATCCAACCAAGCGGGTATATTAACTAATGCCAACTATCTAAAAAGGCTGGCTGGTCTTTTTATTGGCTAGGAGCGGGCAGAACGCTCCGTGTCGGTTGGTTCTTATGGCTGGGCAAAACTCTAGCTCCACAAAGAATCCAAACAATGAATTTTATAAAAGACCCATGTATCCAGTCAGGTAATAGTAGTTTTTCCATGTATCATGTTCTGCTTCTGAGAGCCGGCAAACTAGTCTCTTGTATATTCCTGGCACTGAAATAAAGGTGCCAACTAGCTTGTCTAGACACCAAATTAACGTCATGTCCTCGTACAATAGGGAGAGAAACAAGACAAGGATGTTGCATCAGACTGGGTCCACTCTCGGCTTTTTTCCCTTTCGGAACCGTACATTATCCACGGTCATGCAATTTTGCAAAAGCAATGCAGGCTTCACTGTCATGGTGGACCACGGAAACGATCCGCTTACGACCGGACCGCACTTGTCCTATCGGCCTATTTGCATCCGGAAGCTAGGTAGAGGCCCTTGTCAAGTTCTACAATGAAACCCAGCAAATAGGATGCACAAAATGATGGTTGGTGTGCCACTTCGGTCAACAATACCTCCAGTTTAATGTGAGGCCTCACGTTATCTGACAGAAGGTTGGGCAGGTAACCTGATACTAGCTCCACTTTTTCATCCTTGATATAATAAAAAGCTAATTATTAACCCTAATTTTAACCATCCTATAATCAACCTTAATTCCCAACTTTTAACCTTAACTTCAATTATTAACCCTTGGGTCCCGTGATCGTAGCCCTCGTGTAACCCGCGCGACACTAGCTAATACAGGCATAAGACTTTACCGACGGCAAGGTTAAAATCTGTGAGGAGTGCTAGGAATGCCTCGACGGCAAACAGAGCTAGCATTGCCGAGTTTGAAAACCAGGTCCACCAAGATGTACATAGGTTTTCGCATTGAAATCGTGGACGTATCGCTAACTGGCGAAGGAGCGTGGTTGATATATGCCGCTGGATAGAGGGAAGGAGCTATTTTTCAATAATGCAAGTACTTGCAGTAGAGCAAAAGGATTAAACAAGTTAGAAGCGCGCGTCACGAGATTCATGGTTGGGCACGCGTCTCTGACGGGTTTACTATTTTGTACTGAATCCTCTCCCTGAACGGCAGAGTTATAAGATACTCGATATTATTGGCCAGTTGCTTGCAAACAGTTGGCACTGAGGACGTGACAGTGTCGAAGGAGAAAGCAGGAGCTCCAACAAGTTGCCATTCGCTTCCAGGAACATTGAAGGGACTTGGGGGCTTCTGATGTGTCTGACGAAAAATTGAAGGCTCATGTGCTGCAAGCCTGCGGAGCCATCGGCTGTTAGTAGATTTTGGCCAAAACTGTTCAGGTGCCGTTGGATATATTATCCCACTTGCCCTTCAAATATGGCCTGGCCAATACAATTCGGCATGACCCTAGATGTTTTAAAGTGTGACTGTACAATACAATCCCTGAATGTTGACCCATGAGTGATAAAGCAGGTGGCTTGGAGCAGGTATTTGGAAAAGGGGGAAGGGGTATTGAAGTGCCTAAATCTCGAATAGAATCTCTTCCTCAGACAAGTTGCTACTACAAGACTTGCTATCTCCTTGCGAATACACATGGTTAACAATTCCTGGTAAAAATAAAGAGAACTATTTCGTTGGCCAAAGACCAAAACCCCTCAAACATTTGGTTTCGATCTTTTAAGAGTCGATCCTTGGTACAACCAGAAGAGTCCCCCATTTGATTACGCCAAAAATTATGGTCCAGTTGTAGGGAACGGAGTATAGTGCTGCGTCTAAGCGCAGTGTAGTGGCGTGCTTATAACAAGCATAGATAAGCCTGCGTACATCTAATTAAAGGTCTTGAATGCACTCCCTTCCTTGACTAGATTCCATCGTAAGAACAGAAAGTCAACCAAGAAAAAAGTAAAGCCTCCGGAACCAAACTTTACGACTTGCAAGGGTACCGCGCAGCTATGTGTGCCAGCCACAGTTCCAACTTACACTGGTTCAGCTAGCAAAAAAACTAATGTCTCATCTGCTGAGGGCTTGAAAGGCTGCGCCGGGCGTAGAGTCAGCCTCGGACCCTGCGTCATGTAAGGGAAAAAAACATGAGAAGGATACTACGCACAGCAGAAACCCCACATATCAGCTAAGCCTTCTAGTCTGATGGAGTCCAAAGGCCGACGTGGCATACGTCTGGATTAAGAGAGGTGTGTAGCCGCTGGCAAGCTGCATGTTAGAGCAGCGCACACGGCATAGCTTGCGCCACATAGGAAGATGCCAGAAGAAATCAAATAAGTTAATATGTCTATCAAGTTAGCACATATTCTAAAACCCCCGAATATTGTGATCTTTTAACTACTAGAGTGCTTCTACATGAAAGCTTTCTCCGGAATGCGACAATAAGATGTCATATGTGACAGACGGTTCTTCATGTACTTGGGAGAGCGCATAGTATACGACAAGTCGAGTGGGAAAGCATGCAATACTGCCTTTCTCGGAATTATCCGCGATTTTGCGGCCAGTTCTACCAGATTTACGAGGATGATGTTTGACACGTTTATACGAGAGACCATCTACAATAGTGAAGATCACCCTGGCACTACCGACCTTCCGGATGTCATCGGCATACGAAAGAGCTCTCTTGAAAGTTGGACACTCTGAAGTGCACCATGAATCCTATTCGAATGTCTGGGAGGCATCCTCCAGGAGAATATAGCGACACGGTGGTGTTGACTCCGTAAACCGGCCAACTTCAAAGTCTTGGGTCTGCAAAGCGCGACGATTACGAAAATATTGGTAGTAGTTGAGATCAAGGTGCGCGGATTCTGTCCGCAAACGTCTTGGTCTTTGCTGTGCATGACATACGGACATCTCACGGATGCAACCGGGCTTGTCGTCGGTGCCTGTGTGTGGCAAAGGTTCCATTTGGAAAGTCATGCTCTTTCTCACATATGCATGGACAACTTCCGCGGGCTGGCTAATACCCTGACCGCGTTTCATTCCGACGATGCCATCCCAGAGACAGCGCAAAGTTGCGGCGAGTGGCGGGTGGCACAGCACTCTGCAACTCGACGAGAGAGGACGAGCGCTTTGTATGACATTGAACAAGCTTTCCTCGCGTTATAGATGCAGCCGCCCGTTGGTGTATTAGCGATGGTCGGGTAAAGACTGACTGGAACACGCCACACTTATTCGCCCACGACACTGATTACTGTCGTCCACTTACAACGAAGGTATCTTGTGTTTTTGTGGAAGAA